TACAATCCATCGTTGGAGTCTGTTGGCTCAAGCAGAATAATTTCGTCCAAGCACGTGTGATCACGGGTGAAGCTGTGAGCATAAGTGTGGACCCCAGCATTGAAAACTATCAGCCGACAGAAGAGCCTTTCCATCGCTTTAAGCCAAAGCTGTACCTTTACCAAATGACCCGTTGCAATCCACCATGATGACCGACAAGGCGAACGGTAGTGTGTTGTGTCACCGCATGTACATTGTCATAGGGGTCATAGGGGACATGAAAACTATATCGATACCATTTTCACCCATGCGTGCCAATTTGCCGTAATCCACACTGCGCAAATTGCGTGAAACATTTCTTGCCAGGGCTCGTTTCCGCTGGAGTTTCTGATGAGGCTGGAGGCGCGGGATCCCGCTTTTCACGCACCGTTCCCATCTATAGCTGTTATCATGGTGCAGACCACAGCCGCTTTGAGGCTGATGGCCCCTTTTGCGTGCAATGGGACCGCTGGGTGTTCCTACAAGACATCAAAGCAGGATGCGAGTTGCGACGGCACATTTTCCCCCTACTACCGACGAAAGCTTTAGAGGTTTTCTTGGGCTTTTGGATGAACCAGATGTTTTGATGTTGGAGTTTCAATCGTTGGAGAAAGCCGTCCTTCCCCGTCTTGGCTCCGTTATATTGCTTGGGGGAAACGACCCTAATGCGCCCAGATACTATGGGATGCTTGGTTGCATTTTTGGGTCAGCCTCGTAAATTCTGTGTGCTTTCAACGACATACAGGATGAATAAACTTAGACATGACATATTTCACGGGCGCGCATGGAAAGATACGTGTCGCAGTGTGTATAACAATTTGTGTTTGATGTATAAATATGTAGAGGGATAGATAGATAGTTAGATAGTTAGATAGTTAGATAGTTAGATAGATAGATAGATAGATAGATAGATAGATATATATACATACACACCAAACATGTATATAATATCAGCGTATGCGTATGTGTCTGTGTAGGTATATCTGAGCATTGCTGGCCTTTGCGAGGATTCTGTCCAAGAACATCCTGGCAGCTGTGGGCAAGGAGCTGGGGCGCACCATGTTCGGTGAAGACATCGCAGAAGGGCCAGCGGAAGATGTTGCGAAAGTCTGCGGGAGCGGTTTTTGCATGGAAAGCGAGACAATTGCGGTTGTACTTGACCCGGCCTTGAACTTGAACGACTTGTCTGATTGTAAGATGGAGCCGACTGGGTTTCCTTGCTGCAAATAAGACAACCCACTCACCTTTGATTTGTTTTGCAGAATCATTGTTAAAGAACCTCTGTTCCCACACGATCGCTTCATTGCAATAGTTTGCCTCTGCACAGGATCCCACACGGGCCGATGCCGGAGGATGTGGTGACACTCCGCGTTTGCGAACACAAATACCGTCTTATCGAAAGGCAATGTTTGAATCGATGCTTGGCGACATTTGCTCCATGTCGTGAATCTTCAACACGTTGTCTAGATTGCTAAGATAGACATGACTGGACCACCCAGCCCCTTGTACGTTCAACACCTCACGTCTTGCGCCCACGCGCGCATATAGATAGATATTCATTGATTGATATAATCTCTCTCTCTCTCTTTTCTCTCTGTCTCTCTCTCTCTCTCTGCGTGTGTATGTGTGTATCTCTCTCTGTACACACACATATATATATATGTGTGTGTGTGTATGTATGTATATCATATGATGTCGCCCCGCTTGCTGAGGAATGCGCGTGACATCGACTGGGCATTTTTAGTCCGGCTCGGATCTATATGAAAACAAGATGCAGCCCACGAACCCGAATGCTCACACGTATGATAATGGTACAGATGTCGAAACACATGGAAATTCAGTCATGCAGAACACTTTTCTGACACAGCTTATTTACACATTCTTAAACATTTAGAGTGTAAAGGGTACAGTGTAGAGTGTGGAGTGCAGAGTGTAAAGTGTGGAATGTGAAGTGGGGAGTGTGAAGCGTGGAGTGGAAACTGTGAAGTGTAGAATGCTGAGTCTAGACTGCAAAGGAGTGTAAAGTGTAAAGTGTGGAGTGTGGAGTGTGAAGTGTGGAGTGAGGGGTGTACAGTGAAAAGTGAAAGGTGTGGAGTGTAGAGTGTGGAATGTAGAGTGTGGAGTGTGGAGTGTGAAGTATAAAGTGTAGAGTGTGGTGGAGTGTGGGGTGTGGAGTGTAGAGTGTGGAGTGTGGGGTGTAAAGTGGGGAGTGTGGAGTGTAAAGTTTGGAGTGTGAAGTGTGGAGTGAGGGGTGTACAGTGTAAAGTGTAAGGTGTGGAGTGTAGAGTGTAAAGTGTAGAGTGTAAAGTGTGGAGTGTGGAGTTTGGAGTGTAAGGTGAGAAGTGAGGGGTGCACACTGTAAAGTGCAAAGTGTGGAGTGTAGAGTGTAAAGTGTAGAGTGCGGTTTGTAAAGTGTGGAGTGTAGAGTGTAAAGTGTAGAGTGCGGTTTGTAAAGTGTGGAGTGTGGAGTGTAAAGTGTGGAGTGAGGAGTGTGGCGTGAGGTGTGTAAAGTGTAAAGTGTGGAGTGTAAAGAGTAGAGTTTAAAGTGTGGAGTGTGGAGTGTAAAGTGTAGAGTGTGGACTGTGGACTGGAAAGTGCAGAGTGCGGAGTGTAAAGTGTGGAGTGTAAAGTGTACAGTGTGGAGTGACGAGTGTACAGTGTAGAGTGACAAGTGTAGAGTGTAAAGTGTAAAGTGTAGAGTGTAAAGTGTAGAGTATGGAGTGTAAAGTGTAGAGTGTGGAGTGTCGAGTGGAAAGTGTAGAGTGTGGAGTGTGGAGTGTAAAGCGTGGAGTGTAAAGTGTAGAGTGTGGGGTGTGAAGTGTAGAGTGTGGTGGAGTGTGGAGTGTAGAGTGTGGAGTGTAAAGTAGGGAGTGTGGAGTGTAAAGTGCGGAGTGAGGGGTGTAAAGTGTAAAGTGTGGAGTGTACAGTGTAGAGTAAAAAAAAGGTGTATAAAGTGTAAAGTGTAGAGTGTAGAGTGTGGAATGTAAAGTGTAGGGCATTGGCTTGGCTTGGATGCTTGGTTTTTTTAAACTGCATTAGGCGTGAGTTAGCTTTAGCCTTTTAAAAATCTTTCAGCCTCTAGCAGGGACAGATGATTTTAATTATTTCATCATTTTATTTTCATGTCCTTTATCATTTTCCCATCAATATTATCATGAATTATGTTCATCTCAGCCAGCCAGGGACTGGAAATCATGTTTTTTTTCTTTTTTTATTTTTTCATTTTGATCATCATTTTTTGGATTGAAAATTATCATTCCCTTTTTATCCCCGTTAATTTTTTTCATTATTCCCCACCTGCCAGGTGAGGGTTGTTAGATTTTATCAGAGCTGTTGTCCTCCTCCTCCTCCTCCGCCTCCTCCTCCAGTTTCTCCTCGACCATATCTGCATCAGCTTCCACCTCCACTTCCGCCTTGCCAACTCTTCGCCAAGCTCTTCGCCAACTTCCGAGCTCAGTGCGCACTGCTGGACCTCAACCTGGGACCTTCCCAGCTCAGTGCGCACTGCTGGACCTCAACCTGGGACCTTCCCAGCTCAGTGCGCACCGCTGGACCTCAACCTGGGACCTTCCCAGCTCAGTGCGCACGTCCCAGCTCAGTGCGCACCGCTGGACCTCAACTTGGGACCTTCCGAGCTCAGTGCGCACCGCTGGACCTCAACCTGGGACCTTCCCAGCTCAGTGCGCACCACTGGACCTCAACGGCCAGATAGAATGCCAGAAGATATGCCAGATAGAATGTCAGATACAATGCCAGAAGATGTACTGTACCAGATAAAATGCCAGAAGATATGCCAGATAGAATGCCAGAAGATATGCCAGATAGAATGCCAGAAGGTATGCCAGATAGAATGTCAGATAGAATGCCAGAAGGTATGCCAGATAAAGTGCTGGAATGTTTGCCAGATAGAACGCCAGAAGAGTTGCCAGATAGAATGCCAGATAGAATGCCAGATAGAATGTCAGAAGATATGCCGGATAGAATGCCAGAAGGTATGCCAGATAGAATGTCAGATAGAATGCCAGAAGGTATGCCAGATAAAATGCCAGAATGTTTGCCAGGTAGAATGCCAGAAGATTTGCCAGATAGAATGCCAGATAGAATGTCAGAAGATATGCCAGAAGATATGCCAGAAGATTTTCCAGATAGAATGCCAGGACATATGCCAGATCGAATGCCAGATAGAATGCCAGATAAAATGCCAGAAGATATGTCAGATAGAATGCCAGAAGATTTGCCAGTAACAAATCGTATAAATGTCATGGTGGGGATAACTCGAAGTAAAGTAATTTTTTCATTCCTGTTTTTCCTCTCTTTGGCATTCTCATTTTTCTTTCCTTTGCTTCGAAAATGGTCCTTGGTCCTTGGAAATTGCCACCAGAGGCTTTTTCTCGAACCCTTTTCGTTTCTTTTCATTTTGTTTCGTTTCTGTATTGTTTTGGTTATTTTTCCTTCCTTTGCCTTGAAAATTGTCCTTGGAAATTGTCAAAAGGAGCTTTTTCTCGAACCCCTTTCCTTTGCTTTCGTTTTTGTATCGTTTTGGCTATATGTTTCCTTCCTTTCCCTTGAAAATTGACCTTGGAAATTATCCAAAAGCGGTTTTTCTCGAACCTGTCTGTGTCTGTCTGTGTCTGTCCTGTCTGTCTGTCTGTCGTAGCAACCCCCCAAAAAGATAAACAAGTATTTCCAAGATCTTCTTCGACAATGTTTTCCTCACAACTTCCAGGTTGCCATGTTTTTTCTATCGATCCTGGGGCACTGCCATCAACTGGGATACTATTATCAATTGTTATTCAGTATTTTATTGCCTCTTATTAACCATTCCTAGCTATGAATTGGTGATTATGAACTAGTTACTAACCATGTATTGAACATGAATGAACTAGTTAGTAACCATTGATTAACCATTAATTGACTACTATTCAACTATATAAACCATTTATGAACTATTTATTTCACTGTCATCGAGTCTAAACCACGAGGTCCTTCGTCCACATCTTCGTGGCGCGCACCGCGGCCCTGCAACGGAGCCTGGGCCGAGCGTCGGCGCTGTGCGGCACCGTGGGGCTGACCATGGCGGTGCTGATGGGGTCAGAGGATGGCCAAAAGGCATCCTACGGGGGCATGTGGTGCCGTGGATGAGATGTGGGGTGTTGGTCATGGACTGTCACCTATGGCTTTTAATACTAAGTCTATGATGTCTATGGTCATGGATGACTGGGGGTACCCCGATGACTGAAAGTTTCAAAAAATGGGTCAAGATGGCGATTTCACATGATTTAAGCTACCTTTGGGGGATATATGAATCCATATGAGGTTTGGGGATGGAATGGGAATACAAATAATATGGAGGAAATAGATGGTCACTTTTTTTTTGAAACATCTTGCAAGCCATTCCCCCCAAAAATCATCGTTTTTTCTTTCTCCAACACTTTTTCTGAAACATGAAATTTTGGGCTGCCCCGCTTTTTTTGTGTGCGATAGTACCCGGAGACATTTCATCATGGGGATTTAACTGAAAAGATGATCCCTACAATTTCTTGGGCCTAGGCTTACCTTCAGCATAGCGAATCTTCATCAGGGCGGCAGTTTTTTGGGGCGTTTGTCTTTTTATCCCCTTCATTTTGGTGGGAAAATGAGGATGAATAGCACACTTTCGGGGGTTGTTTTCAGACAAACTCAAATTTAGTGTGGGACTGGTAGTGGTTAGTTTATTTTTTTGCTGAGCATCAGAATGGTTGAGTCCGAAAGAATGATTAAAAAAACACTTGAATTTATTTATTTGTTTCAGAATGGGTAGCCAAAGTACGGTCACACACTGCATACATTGATAGACCAGAGTGGTTTTGGGTGGATCTATACCAGGCAGTCAAAGCGTGGAGTGAAGTTGATCACTTGCGTGCCTTTCCGGTATCAGGTCATACGAAAAATATTACTCTCCGTATGTTAGTATAAACGTAATTTCGTAGATACAAGTTTGTAATTACACATAAAACATCGAGCATGTAACTAAGCATATATATATAATATGCACATACATATGATATATGTTTACAGCATGTATACATCTTCGTTTTGTAGTTTGGTATATGGTTGGGAATCTATATGCTCCCCTTGCGCCCAAAGGTCTGTCTATGGCTGGTATTGGATGGCTGGAAGCAGCTTCTTCCTCTTGAGCTCCGCGGCATAATCGACCAGAAGCCTCAGTTGGTTGTTGGTTGATGATTTTCTTCAGGGTCTTTACTACTATGTATGTACATATATATATATATATCATTATCACATATATGTATATATGTATATATATGTACACACGATATGGAGATTATCATAGTCCATTTATCATAGTCCATGAATCACCATTAAAGAACCATTCATGGGATTTCCCAATAGGAATGTTGCAGTTTCGGACACTCACAGACGGAACTGTAAAAACACTTTTTGACGACTCAACTGGTATCTCGAGTCAGGCGCCAGCGCAGTGCAGGTCGATCATCAAAAACGGAGGTGAAAATTGCGATTTGGCTGTTGATCGGTGAACCTTTCCGGCACGAAACCATCGATTGATCATCAAAAACTGAAGTAAAAAAGGAACTTGCGCCGTTGGTACCTCTTCCCGGACGAAACACGTGCCAATCGTCCAAGACTGAGGTAAAAACACAATTATCTTGTGACAATCTTGTGTTGGACATTTCTGTGTGTAAAAGCGTCTGTGTTCTAGAGTATCTGTGTGTAAAAGCGCTTCTGTGGTGGAATGAAATAACGTTCCACACAACTTTTGTATGTAACATTGCTAAGTAATATTTGAACAACATTTCGTTTAATATTGCAAAGTAACATTTAAGATCACGAAAGCTAGCGGTAGCTAGCTGGGTTTACTCTTGCTGAGGGGCAGGTCTAAGTCCAACTAGAACCCTCCCCCAAGCTCCTGGGGCATTTTGGGGCGGTGTTGGAAGCAGATGGTCACGGGCTCAAATCCTGCCAGGTCTCTAGGCAATCTGTATTCAGCAATCAAAATCCCATCGTCTTTCCAGGCTCATATCAACCTTAGCTTCGTTCACCCCCCCTTGGGCCTCAAGTATTTTAAGAAACATGGCTAAGTAACATGTCTAGGTAACATTTCAAGTAACGTTGCCAAGCAACATTCTATGTAGCATTTTTTTGAAACAACATTTGTCAAGTAATAACCATTTCTATAACGTCTCGAAGTAGCATCTACGCACCTGGTGTCATCATCATCATCAACAACATCATCAACATAATCAACATGACTTCATCATTTCCCATTTTATATAAACAATGTAATATATTAGAATATTAAATGTTACACTTTTTTTGGAACGAACTCATCGCGTTTGTGACTTGTCTGTGGAAAAACAGTGTCCTCGGATGCCCGAATGGTTCCTGGGTCATCCCGCAGACATCCATGTGATTCGAAGCGCCAAAAACTGATCCCAACGAGATGTGGAAAACCCAATGTCATTTGCACACAAAACTGCACCATCCGCAAATCACCATTTTTATGAGTTGTATAAACCCCGAACCGGAGGTTTATGGCAAATCCCACATTCATCACGAATTATGGGGAGATATGGTGCCCCAGATCCCGATCGAGGTAAAGGCATTCTGGCTGTGATGCGCAAGGACATCAAGTCCCACAAGCGCTGGATGACCCGATACTATGCGCCTTGCCACAAGGGCAGGAAATCTGTCGAACTCCGAAGTTTCATTGAAGAAAATCCTAGGTTCTTGTTCCACCTTCTTTGTTCTTTCCGGCAATCGAACATAGCTATGGTGTAGATGTCCCATCAATATCCATTTACTTCGATGATTTACCCCGGAAAAATGGTGACCACAGCGGAAAGCATTGACAGAGCAACTTGACGCCGTCTCTCCTGGTGAACAGGTCTCCATGTGGTCCGACTTCCTGATCTTTCGGTTGATGTTGCACCATGGCTGAAAGAATCGGCTTGGATCACCCGATGATGAATGATTTGTTTGAGGCTTGTAGCACCAAGGAATTTGTAATGGGATCATGATATCATGAGGTTTGCATGGGATATCACGTGGTATCACCCCATTGAGGGGGCTTATGAAGAGCGAATCTCCACCATCTGCTTGGTGAAAAGCCATTTGAATGGTGAAACGATGGGATTGTCCCGGTTTTCCCCCAGTTTTCTACCCCCAAAAAGATCCCTAAACACCTTGGGGATGAACATCCATAACTACCAGCTAGTTTAATGTAAAACACTGCAGGCTTTCCGTGGTTTTGACAGGTTTTGGACGGCCAAAAAACGCATTTCCAAACCTTTTGGGCCATCAAAATGATGGTTTTCAACATGGAAGAACAATGAAAACCACCTCTGGTTTTCCACCATATTTTTGTGCAAGAGATCAGCCTCCCACCGTCTGGTACCCGGGTCCCTTCGGTCCCTTCAGGGTGGTGTTGACGCCTTGCTTCTCGCAGTGCCGGAGCTGTGCGCTTCTGACCTGCATCTGGCTGAGTCCCGCCATCGGTTTGCTTCTGGGGCAGTTGGTCCTCAGCCGTGGCTTTGTGGAGGCTTACGGGGAGGGTGAGGGTTGCTGGCGGCAAGCCTTAGGACGGAAAAACGGAAAATCCTAAATACTTCTTTGTTTTGAGGGTTGCCATGAAGTTGAGTGGTAGGTAAAAGTCTGAAAGATTGACACGGAACTGTTTTGAGGCATGAATTTGGGGCAAATGGTCGTAATCTCACAACAACGTCGCCACAAATGAGGATTAGGAAGGAATGTAGTATAGTCCCCAGGATGGCTTGTTTCAGGCATGTTCATTGTAGTAATTTGCATTCTGGTTGGTTGGTTCGTTTTTTTAGGCCTGCAATGTTTCCATGTTTCTTTTGTTCACTTCTTGGACCTGATTCCTCAATAGAAGACCTTCCTGGATGTCATAGGGTCGGCTCCGGCGTCTGCCAAAGATTCCCATGCCAGCAACAGCTGGGGGTTATGAACAGATGTTAAAAAAGGGCGAATGATGGAGTTGTAAGTCGTTGGGGGCTAAAGGACTTGACTTGGACGAACTGCAGGGGCACCATCCTTTTTCCTTTGCGGCGAAGGACCATCGCACTTGGACTGCTGGATACAACAAGCTGAAGTGAATAGTCTGCAGCTGCATGCTGGCAAGGACTTGTTGTGCCAATCGGTGAGCCGACAGCTTCAAATCCCATTGAGAGAAGGCTGTTGGGGCTGAGGGCTGCAGATTGTAGCCGCAGCATGTCAGAGATATTTGCTGCGAGCAATGTCCGTTGAACCTTGCATTGTCGTCATGGGCGTGGAAGTTGATGGATCCATAGATTTGCGGGCCTATGCCACCGAAGAATCACGTCTGTGATGGCAATGAACACTATTGTAATGTACTCCCATTTGCGCATCCTGCTGGGTTGAAACCGCAGCTTTTCTGACCTGGGCCCCAGCGTCGCGGGTCTAAAGAGCGCAGAGGAAAGGTTGAAATTGGGAGCTTTGGATGATCCGATTCCCGGGCGACCGAATTTGTAAGAAATGGGATGATGCATGACAACCTTGACAACCCAAGATCATCTGATTTTCTGGGCTGTCTAAGCCTTTTATGCGAACCTCCCGATATTTTTGTTCATTTCCATTGCATGGTGCGATTGTAGCTTATTGTGGGTGAGCCCCGAAGTTTCGCAACTTAAACTATGCGCCAGTCCCCTGTAAACGCGTGTCACCAGAATGTTAGTTCACCCTGTAATGGTGCTCTGAAGTCTTTTTTCCTCCACGCCTGCCATTCAAAAGTAATTTCATTGCCAAGGCAATTCGTAATCCTTTTGGATATAAAGAAGGCCTTTTCAAGATACAGCTGATGTTACAACGTGGACCCGGAGCCTCTTGGAAGTTGCTTGAAAAGAATGTTACAACGTAGCATCAAGAGCGTCTTGGAAGTTGCTTGAAAAGGACGTTACAACGTAGCATCAAGAGCGTCTTGGAAGCTACCTGAAAAGGATGTTACAACGTAGCATCCAGAGTGTCTTGGAAGTTGCTTGAAAAGGACGTTACAACGTAGCATCAAGAGCGTCTTGGAAGTTAGCCGAAAAGGATGTTACAACGTAGCATCAAGAGCGTCTTGAAAGTTGCTTGTAAAGGATGTTACAACGAGCATCCAGGGTGTCTTGGAAGTTGCTTGAAAAAGATGTTACAACGTAGCATCAAGAGCGTCTTGGAAGTTACTTGAAAGAGGATGTTACAACGTAGCATCAAGAGCGGCTTGGAAGTTACTTGAAAGAGGATGCTACAACGTAGCATCAAGAGGGTCTTGGAAGTTACTTGAAAAGGATGTTACAACGTAGCATCAAGAGCGGCTTGGAAGTTACTTGAAAGAGGATGCTACAACGTAGCATCAAGAGCGGCTTGGAAGTTACTTGAAAAGGATGTTACAACGTAGCATCAAGAGCGTCTTGGAAGTTTCTTGAAAAGGATGTTACAACGTAGCATCAAGAGCGTCTTGGAAGTTTCTTGAAAAGGATGCTACAACGCAGCATCAAGAGTGTCTTGCAAGTTACTTGAAAAGGATGTTACAACGTAGCATCAAGAGCGTCTTGAAAGTTGCTTGTAAAGGATGTTACAACGTAGCATCCAGAGTGTCTTGGAAGTTGCTTGAAAAAGATGTTACAACGTACTATCAAGAGCGGTTTGGAAGGTACTTCAGAAAGAATGTTACATCGTAGCATCAAGAGTCAAGAGCGTCGTGGAAGTTACTTGGAAGTTACTGGACAAACTTAGAAAGTTCAGTTGCCCGATGAAGTTCAGAACGTGTTAACAGGAGCGCAAGGCAGAAGAACGTTATCGCCCCTCCCGAATCCCCACCCTCACAAAAACGTGACAGGCATGGGTCAAAATGATGATCAAGTCGCTGTCCTGTGGGTTTCCGCGCTGGCTACATCTATATCTATATATCTATCTATCTATCTATCTACCTATCCATCTATTTATCTACTTATCTGTCTATCTATCTATCTATCTATATATATATATATATGTTGCAAATAAATCACCCCCAATGTAGCGTTTTAATGCATGTTTTTGGCATTGTTTGGCTCCCCTCCTCTTGAAACCCTGAAACCTCCAAGGATTTTTTCCCACTTGGATTTGCTGTGCCGTAAAGACCGCCATCTTCCCCAAAGGCCAGCTGTGCGCGGAAGCGCTGCAGCGCACACAGCGGAGGAAGATGTGGTGGAGGTGCACACTTTGGTGTCATCAAACTTGGCCAGGCAAGTCCCCAGAAATGGACATTCTACACACATATGTATGATATAATGATATATTATATCTACACATTGCATAGACATATACATATATACATATGTACATATATACATATGTACATATATACATACATTGATATATTCATATATTCATATATACGTATATACATAATATACACAATATACACAGATACATGACATACTCATATACACAATATACATATACAGAATATACATATATACATAATATACATTTATACATAGTAGACATGTGTATGCACCATAAATATACACAATACAATATACATATATAATTATATATGTATACACGCATACACACTATACATCCAAATTGAAATGGTTGGCCTCCAGGCTCATATAAGACCGATTTCTAGGGTCCTTTTGTAGGAAATCACTTTCCTGTGGCCAGCCATTTTGTAGCATGTACGAATCTGGAAGGCCCCAAGGCCCATTTCGGAGGCTATTTTGTAGGGAGTTGCTTGCACCTTGTCATATTGTAAGAGCAATAAAATAGATGATTTAGGCATAAAAACACTATCATATAGCAATCTCAAAATGTGTTTCTTGGCTGGGTTGGGACCATTCATTTTGTAAAGAATCCCTTTGTTGATTTTAAGGGGTCGTTTTGTAGGGAATTCGTGCTTTGCAGGGATTTTCGCTGTTGTGAGCAAACCCCCTGTAGTGCTCTATCTCTTTTGAGCATTTGCGCCTCATGGTGTCCTTTTTGCTGTTGCTTGCTCAGACCTTCTAAGTACATTTCCTGCGCTCCCCAATTTCCACTTGGGTCCATGGGCAGTTTATGGCAGTTCCATTTTGGAACTTTTTCGGTTTTCGAGGCGCCAAAAAAAAATGTCGGTCTACCCTTGAAACTTCGTGGGTGTGTAGGATGGCGTAGGGCCAAAGATCAATACAGCGATGAGACCGGGAAAGCTGCGTCGACCAAAAAAAGAAGTGAAACTTGCGAAATAGATGCCTGGCCTATGCTGGCCTACAAAATGCAAGGGTTTTCAGCACAGCATGAAAAATCATGAAAGCACATGTGGGCAGGTGCGCAGCAGTTGGAGGAACACATGGTGGAAAGTTAGTCCCTGCATGTCCCTGCCATTTTGTATGTGAACAAGTCTCAACAGCCTAATGTGTAGAGTGAGGATAGGTGAGGCAACCTGCATTTTTTTGCCCAAGAGTTGTGTTGGAAAGCCAGGCTAATTCGGACAAGTGGCCCCGGGTTTGATTTTGAGATCTTACATGATCTTACTGTTACTAGTATCCCCCTTGAAATTCACCCCAAGGGCGGGTCAGACCCCCCTTCTTGGATAGGTATAAGCCTGAGGGATTTGCAAACAGCCTGCAGAATGAATGGGCAAGTGAAAATTTATCCATACAAAATGGTAGGGTTTTGTTCAAAAAAAAGAAACTGCCCATCATATTTTGTAGGGAGGTCTATTTTAGGCAGATTTCTGCTTTGAATTGATTATGAATATGAGCCTTGCTTGCATGCTTGGAACCTGATGCCCAAAAAGGGCATCATTTTGTAGGAACATGCTGCTTTGCCATTTCCCTGTTTTTTCTGATTCAGCCCTCAATTGTCTTTGAGCAGCAACCGATCCTTTTTGAAAGGAAATGGGCTCACTGATATTTGCTGCCTGTCTTTTTACAATGTTGACAAAGAGTAACGCGTTCATACAATGTTGACAACTACAACATATTATATGATAAATAACATGCAATATACAGCATACAATAGACAGTATAATACATAATATTTTTTTTGACATATAACATTTGACACCTAACACATAATACATAAGAGATGTTTCTAAATACATAATAAATCATTTTTCTTCTTTGATATTTAAGATGTAATGTATGAGACATGATATAAAGAATGTAAGATAAAATTTTTGAGATATGATATAAATATTTGACATATAATATCTATTTTATAAGATATAGTATATGGTAAATATATATTATTTAATGATATTTATTTAGTGTACAATGTACAATATAAATTATTCGATTTTCGATATATGATGAAATATCGTATGATATAATATGATATGACATGACATGATAAGATATGATATTATATGATTTCACAGGATTTAATATGTTTCGAAATGATATAGTATATAATATGTAATATAACCTTTAGAATATATGAAACCTGAAACATGAAATATAGTGTTATTTCATTTATATAATATGATTGAATATGATAATATATTGTAATAGAATAGAACCTAGTATAAAATAAAATAATATAGTATAGTATAGTACGTATAGTGTAATATGTTATAGTAAATATTATATAATACAATTTAAGACCACATGATTTAATCTAGTATAACGTAGGATGATATAATATACTATCGCATCATATACTGTAACATAATGTAGTAAGAATGATAATATACTATACGATGCTATGATATTATATATATTTTTTAATCGCAATTTGATGCAATATAGTATAATATAAGGTAATGTAGTAGAATAGAATAGAATCTAGTATAATATAATACAATTTGGTATGGTATAGTAAAAAATATTATAGAGTATATTATACAATTTAATGCACCATGATATAATATGGTATAATATGGGGTAATATAATATATTTTAGGATAATTTAAAATAACTTTGTAAAATATAGCATACTATGGTAAAATATAAAATATAATAAAATGCAATATAACATAATATAATTTAGTCTTAATCTAAAATAGTATAATAATATATAATATATATATATACTTGAAAATGTAGTATAATACAATATCATACAATATGATGCAATATAGTACAATATATTATAATTTAATATGATATAATTTATTTTTATATAATTGAATATA